CTTTCACAAAAGCTCCGTGGGGGTGCCACTTGAGGTGGCACCCCTCCATGCCTATGTTGTGCTAATCGCCTCCCTAAGCTCTGGGGAGAGCGACTGCCATCGCCAATCCATAGAACGGAAGAGCACCGATTTTAATTGTAACGATTATTTATTGGTTTTAAATTGTTTTATGTATGGCATTTGCCTCTTATGTTAGCCGCCCTGAGCCTATGTGGAAGGGCGGGATATAAATCTAATAATAAATAAAAAAATAAAAGCAAATCCCCCATTCAACTTAATGCTAGAACTCTTGGTTCAGCTATTACATTTGATACCTGGTATGATGGGTGAGGAGGAGTATGGGCCTTAGACTTGCTCCCTAACTCACCAGGTTCCTGGAGGTATCACCTGAACAGGCCTCTATATTAACTCCACATTAGAAAATCACAATCATGTATTCTTGGCAGCCACCCCATAGGAGGAGAATTCGCTACTTCTCCATACTTGCCGTGTACCAAGTTGAGCATCTCCCAGAACCACTGTAATGGCCTGCTTGTTTTAGCTCATGCTTGGTGTCAAGAATTTAATACCATCAGAGGAATGGGCTTTTAGTATGCAGCATTTTTATGTGTTATTTGAATAGGGCCATTAAGCTCATGCAAATCACTTATTCACTCAGATGGTAATCCTCTGAGATTGGGCAGCCTAAAACACTAAATAAATTTTGTCTGTCTGTCTAGTAGTGCTCATACAGCAATAGCCTTGAGCAGAAAATAAAATTATAAAAGAAGATAATGCCTTAGTGTTATTCTTCTGTTTAATTATTGCTCCCATAAATTTTTCCACAGAGAGAGTAACAAAATCATTTATATCCAACAAGAGGGGGGACCCGCGATACTTGCGGGGGGAGGCAGAGGAGGACGCGTGCCTCTGAGCGCATGCAGAGTGCCTTACCTTCGCCTCCCCACGCAGCCCCCGCTGGAAGTCGCGCGAGCGGGCTCCTGGTCAAGCGCCAGCGCCTTGCCGGCGCCACGAGCTGCCCTGGAAGCAAGAGCTGAGCACCAGCCCTGGCTTCGCCAGCTCACGGAAAGGGGGTGCTCGGAGCACAGCGGGCGGGGGAAGGCGGTGACTCGGGCCGCGG